GAGCTAAATGAATGAGTGTGTAAAACAAAAAAAAGGAAGTTCCAGCTTCAAAATGACTTACCCTTGGTTGTGGTCTTGAGACAACATAGCTGTAGATCCTGTGATCAGCTGTATTAACCTGTAGGGGTCGGGATGGAGGTGGGTTGAAAACACTTGGTACACCCTCTTGTTCATTCAGTCTGTCTTGTACAGCAGCCTGAGAAGGAAAGCAGTACAGGCAAAAGTTTTGGTGATACTCAAATCAATCCAGAAGACATGAAGCAACTACTGTTTTGTCTTTCAAAATAGGGTGATTGCCAGGGATTTAGCTCAGTGGTGCACTACCTGCCAGGCAAGCATGAGGTCCTGAGTTTGATTCCTTGTATCCCCCAATAAATACACAAATAAATAAATCAAAATAGGGTGATCATTACACAAAGGTCACCTGAGGAGTATGTTTTCTTTTTTCTTTTTTTTTTTTTTTTTACCTGAGGCATATGTTTTCAGAGGGCCCTTGGACTGGTGCACTGGTGCAGTCCTGATAGTTGGTGTCTGACAGAGAGCTAGGTCATAGAGAAACGTAAGTCTGAATCCTAGCACCACTTAGAAAAGTCATTCAACTTCCTAGTCTCAGGTTCCTCATGTGCAAGATGAACAATAATGCTCAGAGTTGATAAAAATTCTAATACAATTCCTGGCAGGTCACTAGTACTTGTTTTTTTTAAGGAAACTTTATTCTCTCTCATCTCTGTCCCTGAAAATTGCTATTTGTCCCAGGAGATGAAAAACATGGCCATATCTAAAGAAACACCCAGGAGGCACTCTATGTCATACCTGACAGGAGCATTTTTTTGTTACTGGACTGTAATTGGTACCTTCTCACCCACAAGTCTTAGGGTAATAGCTAGCCATGTCATAAAGGCCAACTATGTGATTTAAAGCAGGGATATGAACTGTGTGTGATTGCACATACCTATAATCTTAGCACTGGGAAGAATGAGGTAGGAAGATCACTGAAAACTTGTGGGTCAGCCTGGGCTACATTGTAAGGTCAAAGCCAGCCTCAACTACATAGTGAGACCTTGTCCCTAAAAAGAAAAAAAAAAAAAAAAAAAGAATTTGAGGCCAGTGTGATGGTGTACACCTGTCATTCTGGCACTCTACAAGACTCAGGCAGGAGGATCCCAAGTCTGAGCCTAGCCTGGGCAATTTAGTAAGACCCCGACCTCAAAATAAAAAGTTAAAAAACAAAGCTAGGTATAGGGGTGCACACCTGCAATCCCAGCACTCAGGAGGTTGAGGCAGGAGGATTGCTGTGAGTTCGAGGCCAGTCTAGGCTACATAGTGGATTCCAGGCCAGCCTGAACTGCATAGTGAAAGTCTGTCTCAGCAAATAAACAAACAAACATCCTTACAAACTGAACATGAGACTGAGGGGAAAAGCTTAAAAAAATAATAAAAGGACTGGCTAGGGATATAGTTCAGTGTGAAGACCCTGGGTTACCGTAATCAGTACCAGAAAACAGAAAAGAAAAGAAAAGAAAAAAAGGAAAGACAAAAAAAAAGCTAAGGGCTGCGGATATAGCTCAGTGGTACAAGTACCTGTCTGCCAAATGCAAGGTCCCGAGTTCTATTCCAGGTACCAAAAGAAAAGAAAAGAAGCGGGGGGAAGGGGTAATGTCACCCGCAGAGGTGACTTGGAGTAATTCAGTGTTAGTCAATGTAGAGACTGAGTTCAACCACATGGGTGCCTATCAAAGTAATCATATCTATGTAATGAAGCCCTAGTAAAACTTCTGGACACTTCAAGCCCACATGAACTTCACTGGTTGGCAATACTGCATATATGCTGTTACACATCAGTGGCAGAAAAATAATGCATCATGACTCCATGAAAAAAAGAGCACACAAGTTTCCAGAGGAAACCCTTTGGACTGTCCAAGGTATAGCTCCCTTTCCTTTTCTTCATCTGTACCAGTTCCTTATAATTAAACTGTGGGCCGGGGATATAGCTCAGTGGCACATGCGCCTGCCTGGCAAGCCCAAGGCCGTGAGTTCAGTTCCTGATACCAAAACAACCCAAAAAAACTTATAATTAAACTGCAACCATGAATGTAACAGCTTTCAGTGAGTTCTCTAGAGAATTATCAAACCTGAGAGTGGTTTTGTAATTCCTCTGAACGTGTAAGTCAGTGTCAGAATGAGAGAGGTCTTTGGGAAAGCTACATGCCCTCTACATTTGATAGCTGGTTTCAAACTTTGTAGTATGACTAATTCTATAAAGTCCTTTAATTTTACAATTCAATGAGGAAAGAATAATTCTCAACAAATGGTGCTGGGATTCAAAAGAAAAGAAGTTGAACCACTAGGCTATTGTGTCTTTCCTACCTGCTAGCTGGCTCTGTGGCCTCCAGGATACACTTTTATATTGCTTTTTTCTTTTTTACTTGGCCCATACTCACTCTGTAGAGCCAGTTTCTCTCTTACTCTTTACTTTTTTGAATAAACTTTGCTGTTAAAAAAAGTTGAATCACTAAACCTCTACTGTATACAAAAGCTAACTGAAACTACAAGACAGAAATTTACCACTGAAATTATGAAGTTTTCATTTGATTTTTGAGATAGGGTCACACTCTGTAGCCCAGCCTGTCCTTTAGCTCCAGTGATCCTCCCACCTCAGTTTCCCAAGTGCTAGAATTATACTATTATGCCTGGTTTAAAATTCTTAGAAGAAAACGAAGGTGTTACTTTTCATGACCATGGATCAGGCAATGATATTTTAGATATGATACTAAAGGCACAAGAAACAAAACTGGATTTCAACAAAATGAAAAACTTCTGTGCATCAAAGGACATTATTCATAATGTCCAGCACTCTGGAGCCTGAAGCAAGAATATGAGTTTAAAGCCAGCCTGGGCTACATATGAGCTGAGGATCAGCCTGAACTATGTTGAGGCCCTGACTCCAAAAAAAAAAGATAAAATAAGATAAAATAAAAAAGATCTGGGTAATCTTTCCTCCTTTTTTTATTTAGTGGAGTGTGCTGGTGTCTATTTTGTTCAGATGACTGAAGAACCTGGAAAAGCTGTTACTGATATTGATGTAAAACATACTGCTACTATTTGTCTCCCCTCGCCCTCTAGTACCAGGAATCGAACTCACGACCTTGCGCTTGCCAAGCAGGTACTATGCCACTGAGCTAAATCCCCAGCCTTATTTGTCTTTTTATATAAATATATACATATATATATAATTTGAAACTTTGGTGCTGTCAACTTTGGAAAAAGTTATCCCAGTTTACTATATTGAGTTGGCATTGTATAGAAATTAATAGCCATATTGGTCTAGAAATGTTAAACTTAATTTTTTTTCCCCATTTGTACAGGGGTAACACACTGTATTAAATATGTAAGATTTTATCTACTTGCGTTTGATTATAGAAACTAATAAAGCATTTTCTAAATAATGACAAAAATATCAAAAGATAGGGAATCAGGCATGTGGCAAATACTTGTAGTCCCAGGACTCAAGAAGCTGAGGCCAGCCTGAACTACATAGCAACTCTGTCTCAAAAAAAACGAAAACAAGCCGGGTGTGGAGGCTCATGCCCATAATCCCAGGACTTGGGAGGCTGAGGTAGGAGGATTGTTGTGAGTTTGAAACCAGCCTGGGCTACAAAGTGAGCTCAAGGCTAGCCTGAACTGCACAGTCTCAAAAATACAAAAAAAAGAAAAAGAAAAACAAACAATATCTCAAAAGACAACTCACAGAATGGGAGACAATACTGGCAAATCCTGTATCTAATAAGGGTTCAGTGTCTAGACTACATAAAGAACCCTTATAGCCACGTGTGCTGGTACATCTGCAAAGCCAGCTACTTAGCAGGGTAAGACAGGAACACTGCAATTCAAGGCCAGCCTGAATAAATAAATTAGCAAGACCATGTCTCAAAAAAAAGGAAAGGAAAAGGCCTGAAAATGTAGCTCAATAGAACACAAAGCCCACTGTTCAATTTTCAATAACACCCCCCCAACACACATACACAGAAACAAGAGCAAAGGAATTGATAGCCATCTTTTGCAAAGAAGATTTATAAATGGCCAAAAAAGAACATACTCAACATTAGGGGGCTAGGGACATAGTTCAGTGGCACAGCACCTGCCTGGCAAGTGCAAGGTCCTGAGTTTGATTCCTGATATCACAAGGAAAAAAAATCAACATTAGGAAAATGCAAATCAAAACCAAAATTAAACTGGGCATGACGGAGTGAGGATGCCTGTAATCCCAGCATTTGGGAGGTTGAGATAGGAAGATTACAAGTTAGAGCCCAATCTGGGCAACTTGGTGATTCAGTGAGACACTGTCTCAAAAATAAAAATAGGAAGGTATAAAGGCCTTGGGTTTCATCTCTAGTATTGCAAAAGAATAAATGAATAAATAAAAACAATAAACTGTAGTGATGGTTGCGTAAGCCTGTAAATGTACTAAAAACCACTGATCCCACATTATAAATGGATAATTTGTTTAGCATTGAATTATGTATCAATAAAGCTTTTTTTAAAAAAGAAACATTTGACCATTCAGTATTTGTTGTCAATTGTAAAATTAGAACTTTGAAGCAAAAATTAGAATTTTAGAGAACTTGTATTTGCCGCTGTGTGTTTAACAGTTTCCTATCTGATGAGTTTGATGGTGTTATTAATGCATATTAACTATTTAGTAAAAAGTACAGACTTAGACCTGTAATTTAGTAACCAACATTTTCTGAATAACCAATGCCTGAAGTTATAAAATCATAAAAGATTCTTTCAAAGTGTAAGGCAGACAAATAATTTTTCTTTTACTTTGGTGATACTGCAAATTAAACTCAGGGCCTTGCAAATGACAGGCAAGTTGCTCTACAACTGAGCTACAACCCCAGTCCTTCAAGCTCTTAATGTACTGGAGATTGAACCCAGGACCTTTACACTGTCCTACAGCACCAGTCCTTTTTTATAGTTTTAATTTTTTAACACTAAAGTAGGGTCTTGATAAATTGCTAACTTACTCAATCCTCCTGCCCCAGCATCCCAGAGTGCTAGGATTACAGGTGTGCCCTATCATGCCTGGTTTATTTTTATTTTTGAAACAGTTTAGTTCTAAATTGCTGAGACTGGCCTCAAATTTGTAATCTTTCTGCCTGAGTAGCTGGCTTGAAGATGTTTTAATTAATAGTTTTTTTTTTTTTTTGGGTGGCAATGGGGATTGAATCCTCATGCAGGACTGCAACCACTGAGCTACACCCCAGTCCTAGTTCTTTTTTTTTTTTTAAGTGAAGTAATAAATTTTATAGCCTATATAAACTGAAATGCCTGTTTACTTGGGGAGAACCAGTGGTCTACATGTGGGAAAATATAGTACTTTTTTGTTTTGTTTTTATGGTGCTGGGGAGTGAAAGTAGTGAGCTCATCTTCAGCTCTTTTTAAATTTTTCTGTTTGGAGACAGGGTCTCCCTATATAGTCGCAGGCTGGCCCTGAACACCTGGTGACTCTCCTGCCTCAGCCTCCTGAGTGCTGGGATTACAGGAGTGTGCCAGTTAGGGTCAGCATTTATTTTATGATTTCATACATTTTTATCACATTTTCTACATTTTTCACACCAGTAAAGGTGATTGAGGGAAAAAAAAAAAAAGGAAAAAAAAGAAAAGGTAACTAAGGAGCCACAATTCTGAAGAAAAGAAATCTACTGTGGGGAAAGACTCATGCTGTGGAAAAATATGTTTTTGGCTGTAAGACCAGAGAAAAGAAATAAGCTTAGAATGAATCCTACTATGCTATACCTCTATGTTCCAGTTATGCTGTTCCAAGGTATGGCGGCACTGATCCATAGATTCTATGCCAGTCAGATCCTGGGGGAAAGGATAAAAACAGTTACATAAGAAAAAATGAACAGTATCGTTGGGTATTTTTATCATTTGGGTATTTTTACCCTAAGTGGACTTCTTAATGCAAACTGTTAGGAAAGTACACTAAAAAATGTTGAAGGCAGAGGTTAAAGTATGGTTAATGCTGACTAATTCAGAATTTAGCTAATCAGCTATTCGAAACTTATGTACATATTTTTAAAAATGCTTCCTTTGAAAACTTCAATTAAAATCAATATTCTGTCAAATTCAAGTTAAAAAATTGAAGATTGCTTTAATGTCTTGGTCTAGCAAACTATTAATAGACTGTTCTGATTTTAAAACATAATGTGGTTTTCCTGCAAAATACTATGTCTTTTCATCACGTTATTTATCTAACAGTATCCAACTCAGCATGGTAATGATGTAAAACTTTTTATGAGAAAGAATCTGTAATTAACACATGTTCCTGATACCCTTTCCTCACTGTTCCAAGGTAACTCTTAGTTTCTAAGCAAAGCTCCTTCTCTAGCTCTTCTAGCCCTCTAAACGTAGGAATTTCCCTACAGACATGTCCTTGATTTGTTTCTCTTTATCTACTCTCTCCACAAATTTCAGTTAATCCCCAGCCTTCAACATCCTTTCCGTGTAGATGATTTCTAATTTAAGCCCTCAACCCACTTCTGAAATTCAGCAGCACATTTCCAGTAGCCTATTCAACATTTCCACAAAAATATGGCACCACTATCCCAAATTTATCATGTACAACCACTGTATCTGTTAGTGACACCATCACCATCTAAAATACCCAGACAAAGCTAAAATCTAAAACCTCAACCTCATCTTGAACTCCACACTTCATAATCAATTTCTGAGAACTCATTTTCTATTTTATCTTATATCAACAACAGCATTTCCATTTTTATAGCCAGAATCCAGAATTAGCCTTTTCTTTTTTGAGACAGGGTCTTGCTTCGTAGTTCAGGCTGGCCTTGAACTCACTATGAAACCCAGGTTCACCTCAAACTCCTGGTGATTTTCCTGCCTCAGTCTCTTGAGTGCTGGCATGACAGATGCGCACCAACATGCCTGGCTAACTAGCCTTTCATAACTCCTTAAGCCAACTGTTAATTTCCTGCCCACATTCTGATTATTCCTGTGTATCTGTGTATGTGAACACACACATACATTAGTTGAAACCTTTCAACTGACCGACTAAGAAATACCAAAATACTTAGTCTGGTATTCAAATACTTCTATAACATGAGCCCAACCTAGCTTTTAGGCTTCTTGGTTTCTTTCTGTCTTTTCAGATAAGGTTTCACTACACAGTTCAAGCTGGCCTTGAACTCACTTTGTAGCCTCGAACTTGCAGCAATCCTCTTGCCTCGGCCTCCTGAATGCTAAGACTACAGGCATGCACCACCATACCTGGCCTCTAGGTTACTTTCTACTTCCCTTCAGACATCAAATACCAAATTTAATAGTTCATGTGCACATCTCTTGTCCAGAAATTCCACAGAGCTAAAATTCTAGCCTTCCTTCAAGGCCCAATACAAAACTGAATTCTCTTCAGCCATTTACCCTTTTATTTAACAAATGCCTATTGTGTGCCTATTCTGTTTATTATTATGTCTAAAATCTAGAAAGATAAGACAGTCTCTGTTCTTAGGAAACTCCTCTTAACTAGCAACCATCAAGACAAAGAGATGGATCTAATCCTAACAAAAATGTGGCAGAGCACCCAGGTTCTCTACAAATTATCACAAAATCTCACTGCATATGAAAATGTTGGGTTTGATTTTTTGTTTTGAGATGGTGAGAATACAACCCAGAACTTCCTGAGTGCTAGGCAGGCACTCTACTACTGAGATACACTTCCAACTCTACTGGGGTTTTGAAACTCCAAATGTTTTGATTAAATACTAGGCTGCTGCTGGGTGTGGTGTTTCATGCCTGTAATCCCAGTATTCAAGAGGGTGAAGCAGGAGGATTGCTGTGAGTTCAAGGCCAGCCTGAATTACATAGTGAGACCCTATCTCAAAACAACAACAACAACAACAAAAACAACCCAAAAAACAAACGAAAATACCAGGCTGGTTGACAGCAAATTTGTAATCTTCTTAGAATGGAATGAAGCCCAGGATGTTGGTTTCTGCTTTTTTTTTTTTTGGTTTTTCTCCGGTACCGGGAACTGAACTCATGACCTTGCGCTTGCCAGGCAGACGCTTTGCCACTGAGCTAAATCCCCAGCCCCTGGTTTCTGCTTTAGTTTATGCTCCTTTTTGCTTTTTAGAGTTTCTCAGCTGATTCTAATGTACAAGAATGATGGAAAATCCACAGTATTACTATACAATTCTAACTAGGAATATAGTTTTTTTGTTTTCGCAGTATTGGAGTTTGAACCTTAGTCCCTGCACATGCTTTCTGTAGCTCAAGCTGGTCTTGAACTCACAACAATCCTCCTGCCTCAGCCTCCCAAGTACTGGGATTACAGGCGTGCACCACCACACCCAGCTCAGAACAATATCTTAAATCTCTTATTAAAATACTTTTTAAAGCCAGGCGTGTGAACTGCATAGCGAGACCCTGTCTCAAAAAGACAAAAAATAAAATAAAATAAAATAAAATACTTTTTAAAAAAAGGTATATATAGTAAGAGTGTGGCAGTACATGCCTGTAATTCAAATTCTCAAATACTTGGGAGGCTGAGGCAAAAAGATCAGGAGTTTAAGGCTACTCTGGGCTACTCCTTGTATACAAGGAGACCCTGTAAGTAGTGTGAGAAGATTATAAATACTGTAAGCGAGATCACAGTAATTACACAAACTAAAATACTTAATCTAATTTGCAAGCAAAATCCTTTAATAAGTAGTGATACAGTTGAACAGGAAGCCCAACTCAACAAGCCTGCTTGTAATCACTACTGATCATATTGAAACCATGCATATGCAGGTGAGACACACCTAAGCCAGGACTACTCCTTCATCAATTTATATTCCCTGGCCTAGTATTCCAGATACCCAGGATACAGGTACAGTTAGTCCCTGTGTTCTAAAGTTGAATTTGAAGCCAGGTGTTATGGTTTGGGGGATATTTTGCAAGGGGAATAAGATAATACAGGACACATATTTTGTAAGATTATTTATTAATAGTCACCCAAAGAATTATATACAAGAGAGTGTAGGAAATCTGCCCACACACTATAGACCAAGAATCCAGCTGAGGGCCTGGATCTTGTGATAATGTCCTGCAGAAGTCCAACTGAATACCTAGAGCCCATAACAATGCCTCCCACGAATCCAGCTGGAGGTCCAGAGCCCACAACAATGTCTCATGCAGGCCTGTTTCATGGATCTGCGCTGGGAGGCCCAAAGGTCAGTGGTGGAATCTGGAAAGTCTGTGCTAGCAGGATGAAGGATCTGTGCTAGCAGGCTGAGGGACTATACTGGAGCCAGGAAATGATGCTCAAAGTAAGAACCAGAGCTCCCCTGAAAAGTACCATAGTCATCCTCAGCAACAGTAAAGTCCTGAGTTCCTCTCCAATAGTGAAGACAGCTGAGTTCCCATCAGGAAAGCCTATGTAGCAAGCTTCTCCAGCAGACTGGCAGTGCACTATCTTCCTTCCCCTCTGGAGCCAGGAAGGGATGCTCAAAAGTGAGGACCAGAGCTCCCCCAAAGTGAACTGAAGCTATTTTCAGTGCCAACAAGGTCCCGAGCTCCTCAGAGGATGAAAACAGCCAAGTTCATCAGGAAAGCCAGCAGGACAAGGTCCTCCAGCAGAACCAACAGGTCCTTACAGCTTCTAGCAGCTCCCAACAGACTAACTACTTCTTCTCCAGGTCTGCCTCTTATGCTGCTGACAACAATCCTCAGTGGGCCTCCCACACCCAACACCATGCTTACTCAGTTTAGCTGGGTATTATAAGTTGACCACCAGTTGTTAATCCACTACACCGGGCAAGGTGGTATCTACCTGGAAGGCTGAGGCAGGAGGATTACCTCGAGCTTGAAGCTAACCTGGGCTACAAAGTGAGTGTAAAGCCAGCCAGAATTACATAGTGAGACACTGTCTCAAAAAACACAAACAAGTGTAGCCGGGCGTGGTGACGCACACCTGTAATCCCAGCACTTGGAAGGCTGAGGAAGGAGGATCGTTGTGAGTTCGAGACCAGCCTAGGCTACGAAGTGAGCTCAAGGCCAGCCTGAACTGCACAGCAAGACCCTGTCTCAAAAAGATTTAAAACAAGAAATATGAGCTCGGCCTGGGCAACTTGGTGACTTAGTGAGACCCTGTCTTAAAATTTTAAAAAAGAGCTGTAGCCCAGTACAAAAGCCTTAGTTATCCCCAATAATACCAAAAAAACCAAACCAAACCAAAACAAACAAACAAAAAAACCCCACCTCACACTGAGACTAATTAAAACAAACCACACACACTAGTACGTAAGTAAACAAAATTTTCATTTTATTCTTGGAGTACTTTGGATTGGATGCTCATCTAAAAAATAAAGCCTCCCCAAGGAAATAACATTGGAATAGGGATGTGAAAAAAAAATGTTTCGGGGGTGGGGGGATTGACATGAAAAAATATATGCAAAGTATGTTATAGGTACAACAAATGCAAAATTCTAAAACAAATATGTGACACTATGCATTTATCAAAACCCACAGAATCTTCAAAGCAAAGTAAGCCTTAATGAATGTAAATGAAAAAGCAAAAATTAGGAGGCCAGAGGACCTGTAGATGAAGCACAGCCTGTGATGAATGAATCCAAAGTTATTACAAGTACATGAAATACTCCTACTAGGGAAGGTGGGTAGAAAGGTGCTACCTAAGTAACCTTGGAAATAAGTGGCTTATAAAACTAAGGTCTACAGATAACCACTGTTCTCTGGCCGTATGAGTTGTTTTCCACATCTGTGTATGTAAACTGGAACTGAACATTTAAGTAACTAAATAATGTGAACCCATTTTCTCACCGTTTAAGTGGGAGATTACAAAT